AGTGAGACACCAGCAGCCATACTTGGGATGGCCCATATAGTGAACTTAACAGGCTCTAGAACTGTCTAGGAGACAGGCCTCTGGGTGTGTTTGTGAGGCAGTCTCTAGCTTGGGTTCATCCAAGTGGGAACATGCACATTAAATGTGGGTGACACTAAACATGGGCTGGAATCCACGACTAAATTAAAAGGAGAAAGCTGAAAATGATTTCTGTCTCTCTGTGCTTCCAGATGGTGGATGCTGTGACCAGTGGCCTCAAGCTCCAGACTGTGGATGTTGTGACCAGTAGCCTCAAGCTCCTCTCATCATGTTTGCTGAGAATCTTTATTATTTATTACAGAAGTAGCAATTAATATTCTAGGTATCAACCCACCAGAATTAACTTCTGATGGAGAAAAAAATTCTGGGTGCTTTATATTCTCAAAAAGGCCCCCAGAGAAAGGAAATTCCTTTTCACCGGGGCATTAGCGGTGGTGAGAGCAGCAGCCTCCAGATCTCACACTACATAGACTTAATTTTTCCCTTTGATATAGCGCTGAGAAGCCCCCTTTAATCAGTTAACAGAACGTTTTACAACTCATGTCTTTTCTCTGAGACATAAGGCATCTCATTTTGTCAAGACCTTATCTGCCTTCCTGGACTTGAGAGATATGCATGCTTGGTATCTTGCTATTGTCAGAGAATTGTTAATTGTGTCAGTGGCTATATAAACTGGAAAACTTGTGGGATCTCAAAGATTTTTAAGGAAGAGAAGTTTTGTATTTTTATTTATTTGTTTTAAAGATTCATTTATTGCCAGGCATTGGTGGCACATGCCTTTAATCCCAGCACTCTGGAGGCAGAGGCAGGCAAGTTTGAGGCCAGCCTGGTCTACAAATCAAGTGCCAGGATAGGTTCCAAAGCTACACAGAGAAACCCTGTCGAAAAAAAACAAACAACAAAAATTAATTGATTGATTATGTATATAGTGTTCCATCTACAGGTCGGCCTGCAGACGAGAAGAGGATACCAGATTTCATTATGGATGGTTGTGAGCCACCATATGGTTGCTGGGAGTCGAACCCAGGACCTTTAGAAGAGCAGTCAGTGCTGTTAACCACTGAGTCAATGGTTAACTGACTCAGCCCAAGGAGGAGAATTTTTAAGGAGAACTTCAAAAGAGAACTTTAAGAGAGAGCTTTTAGAGGGAAAATTTTTAGAGAGAACTTTTTAAAAAGATTTTATTTATTTATTATGTATACAACATTCTGCTTCCATGTATATCTGCACACCAGAAGAGGGCACCAGATCTCATTATAGATGGTTGTAAGCCACCAAGTGATTGCTGGGAATTGAACCCAGGACCTCTATAAGGGCAAGCAGTGCTCTTAACTTCTGAGCCATCTCTCCAGCCCTAGAGAGAACTTTCAAGGAGAAATCTTAAAGAGAGCTTTTTGAGATAAAACTTTTGGAGAGAACTTAAGGGGAAGAACCTATTTTAAAGAATAAAGAGCTATGAGAGAAATGTGTGTAAGTACTGATTTGTTTGCTCTCAGATCCTTTTTAGTCAGCTCTAGCTGCCTGCTGTAAGCCTTCTGCCTGAACCCTCAATACATGTTTCTCTACCATGATGGACATAAGCCATGATAACTCCTTCTTTACGTGGTGGCTCTTGTTAGGATTTGGTTACAGCTAAGAAGAGAGTAACTAATCCTAATTCTTTTTTAAAGATTTATGGTTTCTGGGAATCGAACTCAGTACCTCTGCAGGAGCAGCCAGTGCTCTTAACCTCTGAGCCATTTCTCCAGCCCTGTTATATTTAACATATCTAATTATTTGATCAACCATGCTGTAGATAAACAACATTCCATCAAAATTGCTAGGCCTTCCCCCACATGGATGTCTTGCTGTCTGGACTTGGAGCTTTTATGGCTACTATAAAATCCCTGCCTGATGGGGGAATGTCCTTCTGTATGTATGTGTCTGTAATGATAACTCTTTCCGCCAGCTGCCTGGGTTCTGCCACCACTTTAGGGCCCCCAAATAACACAGAGTCTTATATTAGTTACAATGCTGCTGGCCAATGACTAGAATTTCTTATTTGCTAGCTCAGTCTTAACCATAACTACTAATCTATATATTTTTATAAGGACTTATCTTACCGAGGCCGCTGTCCTTATGCATCCTCTCTTTCTGGGATCACATGGCGACCCTCTCCCTACATTTCCCAGAATCCTCCTTCTCTTCTAGTCCCACCTAACTTGTTTTCCTATTGGCCAACAGTGCTTTATTTATCTTTTTGTTTGTTTGTTTTTTTTGAGACATAGTTACTCTGTGGCTTTGGAGGCTATCCTGGAACTAGCTCTTGTAGACCAAGCTGGTCTCGAACTCACAGAGATCCGCCTGCCTCTGCCTCCAGAGTGCTGGGATCATGTGCAACCATGGCCTGGCTTAGTGCTTTATTCACCAACCAAAAGACAAACATATACACAGAAGGACCTCCCCCATCATGTTTCTCTTACTGGTTGATGAATAAAACACTGTCTGGCCAATGAGGAATGAAGATAGCTGGGACTAGGATCCTAGTGGGCAAGTCAGCTGGTTCTGACTGTAGCCCCCCAAACACAGGTCCTCACACCTGTCTGGAAGTAAGTCTCCTCCCTCAACTTTCTACAGCTTCCTAATCTGCTGGGTTAGTAACACCTAACACCTGTCTCTGGACTGTACAGTACAGATGATTCTTATTTGTTCCTCTCATACCTAGTATCTTTAAGACTGAGTAGTTTAAAAAGGAAGTTTGAATGTTCATTTTTTGGAAATGTATTTACTTTTACATGTCTGTGTGTTTTGTCTGCATGTACATATGTGCATCATGTGTGTGTCTGGTGCCCTTGGAAGTCAGCAGATAATGTCGGCTCTCCTGGACCTGGAGTGTTAAGATAGCTGTGAATCATCATGCAGGTGCTGGAAATGAATTTGGGCTCTCAACAAGAGCAACAAGTTCTCTTAACCACTGAGCTGTGTCTCTAGCCTCAGAAACTGCAGGTTTCCTGAATATTCAATCTCTGTTTGCTTTGGTTTTTTGTTTGTTTGTTTGTTTTGTTTATTTTTTGAGACAGGGTTTCTCTGTAGCTTTGGAGGCTGTCCTGGAACTTGCTCTGTAGACCAGGCTGGTCTCGAACTCACAGAGATCTTCCTGTCTCTGCCTCCCGAGTGCTCCTTTTGATTTTGACCAAAAGGTCTATGATGAGTCTATGAGAACAAGGTTTATACTGTCCATGCTCATTGTGAAGACATTTTGAACTGTTGAACTATTTTATCAATTTACATCTTGTTATTCTCTAACAAGTGTCGTAGAATGTTTGAATGAAATAATATTTGCTTATTTTGGTGCTGGCAGGTTAAACAGGAAATTTGCAAGACTAAACCCAGGGTTTTTTGGTGGGTGAGCAGGGTAGACAGTGTCTCATGTGGCCTAGGTTAGTTCTGGAACTTGTTGGTAGTTGAAGATAGCTTTCTGATCTTCCTGCCTCTACTTGGTGAGTGCATGCCCCACCATACTTATTTATGGGGTGCTGAATTTTTTTTTAAAGATTCATCTTATTTGTCATCATCATTTTGGATTTTCGAGACAGTTTCTTCGTGTAACCTTGGCTGTGCTGGAATTCACTTTGTAGTTGAGGCTGGCCTCAAACTCAGAGATCTGCCTGCCATTGCCTCCGGAGTGCTGGGATTAAAGGTGTGTGCCACCATGGCTGGACTGATTTAATTTTTATTGATGTTTGTATGTGTGTAGGTGGGTATATGCACATGAGTGCAAGTACCCTCCGAGGCCAGAGGCATTGGATCCCCTAGAGATAGAGATATAGGTGGTTGTGAATATCCCAAACATGAATATGTAAAACTGAGCTCAGGTCCTGCAAGAGCAGCAAGCGTTCTCTACTTTTGCAGTATCTGTTCAGGCTACTTGAAGGAGTTTTTAAGGGTTGGAAAACAACATAAAAGAAAAAAAGGATGTGAGATTGGTGACATATAGGACAGGTGACCCATTAATTATACTTCAATCTGCTCTCAAAATAGGCTGCAACAATTTACCACCTCACCAGCATGGAGTTCTCAGCTCCGTATACCATTTTAGTAGCATTAAAATAGAAAAACCATACCAGTTTGGTTAAAAGACAGTTGTGAGTTGCCATGTGGTTGCTGGGAATTGACCTGGGTCCTCTGGAAAAGCAACCAGTGCTCTTAACCACTGAGCCATCTCTCCAGCCCATGCCTTACTCTTGATAAATCTAGTTTTCTGTTACTCTATTCCGCCTGGCCTCAGAACACAAAAAGGGTTTCTTTTTTAATTTATGTTGTATTTTTACCTGGATCAAAATGATCCAGCCTAAGGGAGGAGAGGAGTAGTAAAGCAGCCAAGCAGCACCAGGCAGAGGCAAGATGACCTACGTGCAAGAACCTCCTTTGGCATCCACTTGGGCGCCTCTGGTCAGCAGAGGGCGCCGGGAAGCTTTTCTCTCACCCCGCCCCCAGCCCAGCGCGCCGCGTCCCCGTGACGTATTTCCGCGTCATCTGCCGCTGAGGTTAGTTCCCATTGGCTTTCGGCGAAGAGACGGGGGCGGAGTCAGGCGGGCGTGAGGGAAGCGCTGCAGCTCGTTGGGGGCGGGGCTTGTCTATTTCCCCGCCCCTCCCCCGCCCTCCAGTCCTTCGCTGGGACGTCTATGCGCCGCGGCTTGGAGTGCGGTGGTGGCGGTGGCCGCACTTTTCCTGTGGCTGGAGCTACAGCCGAGCTGCGGGGAGTGTGCGGCGGGGCCGCCGGAGCCCAAAGAACGCGTGCGCTGAGGCGAGAGAGTCCCGGGCCGCCGAGCGCGCGCAGCTGGTTCCCCGCGTGGGTTGGGCGGAGGGTCCCGCGAGCGCGCTGCTGACAGAGCCGTCCCGACTCAGAGCAGAGCCGAGGGAGGAAGCGAGAAGCGGCCGCGCGCTCCCCGCTGAGTTGCAGGCTGTTTCCCCGCTGCAAGATGCCCAAGAAGAAGCCGACGCCCATCCAGCTGAACCCGACCCCCGATGGCTCGGCGGTTAACGGGACCAGCTCGGCCGAGTGAGTACCGGGAGTGGCCGGGAGGCCGCCACCACTAGGCTCGGCTCCGTCACGTACGGCCCGGTTGGCGAGGGGCGAAGGAACTCTGGCCGCCGGGCTATCAGTGACTAAGCACTGATTGTGTGCTTGACTCACACCGGCCGTGCACCCTGCGAGTCCCGATCCCCCTCTTTCCCAACCCTGTCTGTCGTCCCTGACCACCGATATCAATCTTCGCCCAAGAAAAACGAAACCTAATTCGTCTCCCCAGCTATTGCTCTAAAGGGCATCCTCTGGGATTCTGGCCTGTAACGGGACGCAGAGCAAATTCAGGTCTCCTCTGCGCCTTTGAGACCTCCTCGGGGTCTGAGTGTGGACTTGTGATGGGTGAGCCCCATTACTCTTGGTGCCTGACACCTGTGGGGCCTTGTGGCCGGTTGATCGCCTGGCCAGCGGGGGCGTGTGTGCACAGACTTCCCCATGGCTTTTACCTGCCTCACTTTGGGGATTCTTTGTCCGTGGCCTTCTTGGGATCTGCCTTGCGCTAGGGAAGAGTCTCTCCTCATCTGACCGTTCATGCAACAGTCCATCCCCTCACCAGTTTTTCTCCTGGCTTAAGCTTAGTTAACTGCGATCCGGAAATTGACCTGAGACTAAGAACGATGACCGTGGAAACCAAACTAAAGGTGCTTGGTATCTTCAGAGGCCAGTGTTGCTTACAGTTTATTTCATAAGGCTATTTTGGGGGCAGGTGTTTCAGAGCCCACCTGTTAGGTACCATCTGTGGGAGAGACACTCAGACTAGATGAAGAAATAACTAGAAAAAATGAAATTCCTCATCTTTCCCTGAGGGCAGGAGACTTGAGGTATCTGACAAAATGAAAGTAGCTTTGGGCATTCTGCCCTTTGGAGATTATTGTAACTACCCTGTTTGCCTAGATTTTTATAACCCAGGACCTGTTGGTATGGTGACTTTCATTGATATCTACAGTGATGGCAGGGCTGGTAGTGGACTTGTGTGAGCTTAGCTAGGTTATTAAGACCTGCTAAAAGTACATCTCTTTAGGTCCTCCTCAGCCCATGGCAGTTGTTCTTGACCGTTGACTTGTACCATGTTTTTGAGCATCATTACAAGCATTTGTTCAGTTTGTATGTACATCATTTTGTTCTTTTAAAAACAGTGAGTCTCTACATCCCCTTTCTCGGCAAGGTACTCTTCAGTAACTATGTACAAGATCCATGTTCAAGACAGATGTTTTCATGAGAGGGTGGAGTGGGATGGGCAAGGTCTATATATGTAACCCAGGCTGATAAAGAATTTGAAATTCTCCTGATTTACCTTCCTGAGTGCTGGAATTACAGGCAGTTGCTGCTATGTTAGATTAGCACAAGCTTGTTTTTTTTTTAAACTATTTTATTTTTAATTATGCACGTGTATATGTGTCTGTGGGTATGTGTGCGTGAGTGAAGGTGCTCTTGAAGGCCAGAGGCATCTGATTACCTGGACTAATTAGAGTCAGTTATGAGCCATGGGTGCTGAGAACTGAACTCAGGTCCCCTGTCCCTTATTCCCTGCAAAAACAGTAAGAGCTTGTAATTTTTTTAAAACTGCTGAGCCATCTCTCCAGCCTGAGGATAAGTTTTGTTCACTGTGAATTCTTGTCAAAGGTTAGGGCTTTGTCTTCCTTTAAATCTTTGGGTTTGAAAGTGGAAATACCTGTTGTCATTCATTCTGTTGTTAATTTTGACATGTGGCTGTACTCTTGGAAAGGGAAGAGAGGTTTCATGAAAAGAACTGAATAGGGTGGTAGAGAAATAGCTTTTTAATTCTTTTTTTTTTTTTTTTTGTTTTTTGTTTTTTGTTTTTTGAGACAGTTTTCCTGGGTAGCTTTGGAGCCTGTACTGGAACTAGCTTTTGTAGACCAGGCTGGTCTGGAACTCTCAGAAATCAGCCTGCCTCTGCCTCCCACCTCCCAAGTGCTGGGTGGGATTAAATAGCTTTTAAAAGTGCTTGCTGTGCAAACCTGATAACCTGAGTTCAGTCCCCAGATTCTGCAGTGGATGGAGCTAATGAACTCCTGAGTACTGAGGAATGCGCATGCCCTCAATCACACATAATAATAAAATACTTCTTTTATTTTTATTATTCATTTATTTATTTTTGGGAGGCGGGGTTTCTCTGTATGGCCCCAGGTGTCCTGAAACTCAGAGATCTGTAAATAGAGTTCTTAATTGGTCTAGATAAAAAGCTGGGGTCAGATATAGAGGGAAATGCTGAGAGATTAAGAGAGAAGGAACAAGCCATGGCAACTTTACCTCCTTAGCGTCTCAGCATTTTCCTGCCTCTGCCTCCCAGGTACTGGGACTAAAAGCGTGCACCTCCACTGCCCTGCCAATAATTTTTTGAAATTAAATTTTGTTTTGTTTGAGACAGGGTCTCACTGTGTATCTCTGGCTGTCCTAGAACTTGCTATGTAGACAATGCTGGCCTTGAAGTCACAGAGGTCCATCTGCTCCTGCCCACCAAGTGCTGGTAGTTTTGCATGTGCTACCTCGGCCTGGCGTTTTTTGTTTTTGTTATTTTGTTTCTTTAAGATGTAGAATCTGCCTGGCTTGGTGGCGCACACCTTTGATCCCAGCACTGGGGGGGGGGGGGGGGATGATGATGATGATCTTGTGAGTTTGAGACCAACCTGGTCTACAAGAGCTAGTTCCAGGACAGCCTCCAAAGCCACAGAGAAACCCTGTCTTGAAAAACCAAAAAAAAAAAAAAAAAAAAAAAAAAAGTATCTGAAATATAAGAATAAACATCTCCAAGTTGATGGCAGAAACAATTGGATGGAATTGGAGGTTCTAAACAGTAGTCAGCTTCAGAGGTTGTGTGCTGGATCAGGCTGGATTTGAAGCCTGGCTCTGTTACTTGCAGTTTTTTGAGCCTGGACAAGTCTCTTATGTTCTCAGGGCCTAGCTTTTTTTAGAACAAGTGGTTCTAATAATAGAGCCAACTTACAGTAGTTATGATTAAATAAACCTTCCCAAACTGTCCACCTCTGATGCCTTGTATTGATTGCTGAGTACGCTGGTGGGTCTTGACAAATCATGTCCATTGATGGTGGTGGATGGGTGTGTTAAGGTGCCTCTGGACAAACAGCCCTTTAACCTTGTTTTCTGTGCAATCTGCATCTACCTCCATGACTCACTGCAGGGTGACAATAGGAGACATTTCTGTGTAGGCTGCTGGAGACAAACAGGGACTGTTCCCCCTTGTGTCCTAGCACTAATTGGGGCTTGGGGTGGGGTGGGGGGATGGGGCACAGACAGATAAGCTGCACACAACTTCACATCTCACCCTGGATGTGTTCCTCAAGCAAAGCCTCTTCTATCTTGGGCTATCAGTAGAGATATCTCTTGTGTTTCTGATCTTTGTGCTTACACCATGGCCTTTCAAACAAGACAGTGTGAAGTAAGGAAGAGGAAGAAGAGAATGCTCATTGATGGGTGAAAGAATTCTTGGTCAAGGTTGCTGTTAACATAGTGCTTACTCATTCAAGGATTCAGGGAAGACACTAGTAGTATATAGGCCCTGCAGTTTATGTAAATTTTAGGGGGTCCCTGGGAAAAAATGTAGAAATTCTTTCTTATTCAAAATATTAGAATATATTGCTAGATGCCTAAGTATTATAATGAAATAAATTAGAAATAAGGTTGTATCATTGTTTTGTTGTTTTTTTTTAAATTCCCACTTGATTCCATTGCAGTTAAAGTCCTAATTCCTCATGCTGGGCTGGGGAACTTTGAGTGAGCTGCCTGCCTATGCTTCTATCCCTGCCTGTGCCCCTACCCCTCCCTTCTCTAACCACATTTCCTGTGGCTTCTTTCTCCTGCCCTCTTTTGCTTCCTCCAGAGATGGGCTGTGCTCCTTCCTGGCCTTTTGCTCATGCTGTTTCCGTTGTAGTTAATCTCTATCCTTTTTCTTTTCCTTACTAGGAAGAAGCAGTTGTCACATTTGCTCTAAAATCCCAGTCCTCAGGGACCACCTAAAGTATGTCCTTTCCCCACATCTCATGATCTTTTTTTTTTTTTTTTTTTTTTTTTTTTTTTTTGGTTTTTCAAGACAGAGTTTCTCTGTGGCTTTGGAGGCTGTCCTGGAACTAGCTCTTGTAGACCAGGCTGGTCTCGAACTCACAGCGATCCGCCTGCCTCTGCCTCCCCAGTGCTGGGATTAAAGGTGTGAGCTACCAACGCCCGGCTCCTCATCATCTTTTAATGAGATTTTCTTTGTGATTCTTTGGTTTTGTTTTGTTTTTGTACTAGGAATTGAACTCGGTCCTGTACATACATTAAGGTACGATTCCAAACTGGGCACTGGTGGTGCATGCCTTTGATCCAAGCACCTGGGAGGCAGAGGCAGGCTGATCTTTGTGAGTTTGAGGCTACCCTGGTCTACAGAGCAAGTTCCAAGACAGCCAGGGCTACACAGAGAAACCCTGTCTCGAAAAAAAGATACAGTTCCAATCTTACAATTTTGTTTGTTTGTTTGAGACAAGGTTTCTTTGTGTAGCTTGACTCTCCTGGAACTCACTTTGCAGACCAGGCTGGCCTCAAGTGCTGGAATCAAAGGTGTAGCTCACCACACCCAGCTATAATTTTTTTAAATCAGGAATTTAAGAAACCTTTATGCCTTAAAAATTAAGAGCTAGCCTTCTTTTTCTGATTGAACACTCTGTAAGTAGAAACTAGAATAATACCTAGGACATCATAGATACAAAATTGGTTAATGAATCAACAGGTCAGTAAGATTTCTAACATATTTATACACTGTGTTTCTATTTTTTTTTTTTTTTTTTTTTGAGACAGGGTTTTACTATGTAGCATCAGCTGATCTGGAACTCAAGATGTAGATCAGGCTGGCCTTGAACTCACAGAGATCTGACTGCTGCTCTCTTCTCAGTGTTAGTATTAAAGGTATGTGCCATCATACCCAGCCTTTGATTTCTTTAATATTTTCTATTACATTTTAATTTATTTATTACTTTTTTACATTTAAAATGAGAGAATTTATTTGAGGGAAAATAAGAAGTGCAGGAGTACTTCATAGGCCACTTTACACAATAAAGCAGGCAAACAACATAATATATTTTTACAAGTATGACTAGCTCTAGAAATGAGTTCGAAGAGATAGCAGTTATGAGTAGACAAACCATAGTCATAAAAAACAGGTCAAAAGTCACAATGTATATATCCATGTCACCATGGTTGGTAACTGCACCTAGCTTTACAACTGCAGTCATCTAAAGTACTGAGACGGGCAGCCTCAGTCTGGAGGGAGCCATTCAAAATGTGCCCTGGTCACCACATTGCATGAAGTTACTGATGGGGCTGAGATTTTAAGAAGCCTGTGTTTCCAAAGGCAGCTATGGAGTGTGGGGGAATCAGCTTTGTGAAAGAAAAGAACTATTTGAGTGTTTACAAAATGTGGACTTCTAGTTTTGTAAATAAGGCGAAAATGTATATCATAGCAATTTTATTTATTTTTTGGTTTTTCTTTTTTTTTCTTTTCTTTTTTTCTTTTTGAGATAGGGTTTCTCTGTATCTTTGGAGCCTGTCCTGACACTTCCTGTGTAGACCAGTCTGGCCTGGAACTCACAGAGATCTGCCTGCTTCTGCCTCCCAAGTGCTAGGATTAAAGGTATGAGCCATCATAGCAAGTTTTTGAAAAAAAATTATTACTGGTGTTTTAAAATAGTGGGTAAAAGAAAAAGATAAAAACAAAACCAAAACTTGGAGAATAAATTTAAAAGAAAATTGCACTTAGAACTTTATTATGGGATCATGAATAGCTGCCCAGAGTGGCCTGTGATCTGGTGCTTTCACCTTCCATAGGTTTAAAGTTCTGTATCGCCACCAGTGCCACTGCTGTTGTAGGGAATGGCTGTCCTTGGAAATAGATTTACATCTAATTTCTGCATGAGGCTATTCTTTTTGAAATTTGTCTGTGGATGTATATACATTTTTATATATAACATATTTAGTGTGTGTGTGTGTGTGTGTGCGCGCGCGCGCGCGCGCGCACACTCTAGCACACATGCATGCCTGCCACAGCATATAGCTTCTGGCAGTCTTTCTCCTACCATGTGGGTCTAATGTTTTCAAACTTAGGTTATCATGTTTGGTACTAGGTGCCTTACCTACTGAGCCATCTTTCTGGCCCCTTTTATTTTCTTCAAAACATTACTTTTAGTCTTTGTGAGGAGAAACCTTCTGTTCTGAATAGAAATTGAAGCGTTGAGGTCAGCTGTTGCTCAGGACTTAACTTTTTATTTTTGATAGCTGAGTCCCTTGCATTTTCATTGTTCATTTCCTTACCTGTAAAGTGGGATGTTAATGGTTCACCCTGACCAACCAGGTCTGACCTAGTCATCAGGTTCAGTGTTTTTCTAATCCCTCCCTCACTTGGGGTTTTAGAGTCCTTTGTTATGTGGGTTAGACATATCTCCATCTTAGGGTGACTGCTGCTTGAACATTCCCCTCCCATTTTCTCCTCTACCGCCGTCTCCTCCTCCTCCTCCTCCTCCTCCTCCTCCTCCTCCTCCTCTTCTTCTTTTGGTTTTTCGAGACAGGGTTTCTCTGTAGCTTTGGAGCCTATCTTGGCACTTGCTCTGGAGACCAGGCTGGCCTCGAATTCATGGAAATCTGCCTCTGCCTCCCGAGTTCTGGGATTAAAGGCATGCACCACCAATGCCTGGCTCCCCTCCATTTTCTCCTCCTTTATTTTGCCTCATTTTTCTTTGCATTGTATTATATAGTACATCTCTGTCTGTATTCTGGCTCCACAAAATGCAGGTTTCATCATGGTTGGCCCTTTGCTCTGTCCTCACATAGCTTGTAGGGCAGTACCTAGCATGTAGCAGGTACTCAGTCATTTGCTGATTGTCATTTGCTGATGACAGTAGTTGGACAGTTTCTACTTTAATTATTAAGGTAGGCAGGGTGGTACATGCTTTTAAACCCAGTGATTTGAAGGTAGAGACAGGCAGATCACTATGAGTTTGAGGCCAGCTTGGTCTGTAGCAAGCTCCAGATAAGCCAGGGATGCATAGTGAGACCCTGCCTCAAAAATGAGGGATTAAAGAAATAGCTCAGTGGTTAAAAGCACATGACTGCATTTCCAGAGGATCTATATACATGATGGCTCACAACTGTCTATAACTTTAGTCCCAAGAGATCCGACATCTTCAGCCTCCATGGGCACTGCATACTGTATGTATATGATACACAGACATACATTCATGTAAAATACCATACACATACAAACAATAAACAAAATGTTCAAAAATATTAAAACCAAATCTGAGCCGGGCGTTGGTGGCCCACGCCTTTAATCCCAACACTTGGGAGGCAGAGGCAGGCGGATCCCTGAGTTCGATACCAGCCTGGTCTACAAGAGCTAGTTCCAGGACAGCCTCCAAAGCCACAGGGAAACCCTGCCTCGAAAAACCAAAAAAAAAAAAAAAAAAAAAAAAAAAAAAATCTGGGCAGTGGTGATGCATGCCTTTAATCCCAGCATTTGGGAAGCGGAGGCAGGTAGATTTCTTGAGTTTGAGGCCAGTCTTGTTCTTCAGAGGGAGTTCTAGGACAGCCAAGGATACATAGAGAAATCCTGTTTGAAAAAACAAAACAACCTAAAAAACCAAACAAAAAGGACTTAATTATTGCAGTAGGACCATAGTCTTACTAGTCCTGCAAGATTTGTAAGGATCATACATACATCTGTTAGTGTGAAGGCCCTCGAAGGGTTAAGGTGGGTTTAAGCATTTATTTGCAATGCTAGTAATTGAATCCAGGGCGTTGACCATACTAAGCAAGAGCTCTACCATTGAGCAGTATCCTCAGCCTTTGAGGAAAAAATCTTGCTGTGTATCTTGGTCTGGAACTCTCCATTCTCCCGTTTTTGCCTCCTGAGTGTTGTGGTTATAGATGGGTTACTGCCTTGTCTGGTTTATATGCTTGTACCATGGTCACTGGGAGGTTATGAATTGGTTTTGCACTGGATTTTGAACTTCTATGCTTTCCTTGATTAATTAAAGCAGGAACTATACTGATGCTGTCCTTTAGAACAGCTCAGGTGAAAAGTGAGATCTTCTGAGGCATGTGTCCTTGAAAATGTCTCTGTGGCTGTAGCAGACACAGAAGTGGGAAAGAGCTTAGGATGGGGATGTGGTTCATTTGGTAGAGTGCTTGCCTAGCATTCACTATGACTTGGGTTTGATCTTCAACACTGAATAGTCTCAGCTGAGTACTTGTAGGTAAAGGCTTAAGAGAATTAAGAGTTCCAGGTCATCTGCAGAAATGTAATTTGAGGTCAGCCTGGGCTTCATGAGACCTTGCCTCATGAGATACAACATTTTACTTCCATGTATTGATGCACCTCTGAAAGAAAGTGAAAGAATACTAACATAGAATAGCTGATAGTCCTCATTACTATATATCCAGTTTGATTTTCCTGTTTCCCAAATTTACTGATTTATGCCATACCGAAGATGCCCCTTAATGTCCTCACTTTGCCGTAAGCACACTGTTCCTTAATCTGTTTGGTCAGGCTCACGTGTTCCTTTAACATCCTCCCCCATTTTTCTGCATGGTTGATTAATCTCTCTTTCTTTGTGGTGCTGAGGTTCAAACCTGGGGTCTTACTCAGCACTCTACCACTAAGCTGTTCCCCAGCCCAATGACACACCGACACATACTTATTTTTTCCCTCAGTGCTAGAGATCAAATCCAGAAACTTACACATGCTAAATATCTGCTGTACCATTGACCTATATCTCTAGTCCTACATGATTTGATTTTGTTTTAAAATTGCTATTATATTTACCTTCTGTAAGGGCCAGGACAGACTCTTTTGTAGTGATGTTTCCCTAGCTTCTTGTTCAGTACCAGTGCTAAATAAATGAATGCTACCACCCGTCTTTAAGGCTCACATGTAGCTGTAGTCT